TTTTTTTTTTTTTTTTTTAATGAGAAGCTGATTTAAAACTGATTTAAAAACCAGTAAGAAAAAAAGATTTGGAGACAAAGATAGAAATACTCTTTAGAACAGACTGGCTGCTGCTTTTCAGAACAGTATGTGGATGTGAGAAGGGAATGGAGGAGAGTGGACTTGAGAGGGAGGAAAAAGGCAGAATTTGGTGAATGGAAAGAAGTCAGAGTAAGGTGTCATATACCCAAAACTGGTTAGGATGGTCAGGGACCTTGGCAGAGAGTGAACCTGGAGCCCAGGCTGCCTGAAATGGTTTTCTCCTGGGCAAAAGGTGAGTGAGCCAAGTGTAGGCTCCAGTAGCAGGAGTAGACCTTATGTGACCTTAAGGGTGGTGAGGTGTTAGCAGAGAATGCTTGTCCTTAACTAAGCCACTGTGTTTTTTCCACAGAATTTCTTTGGGTTGAGTTCCATGGAAGTTTGTCACTGACCTGTGTTCCAGAAGTATGAAACATGAATATTGGGTCATGGAATAGTTTGTCTTGATAAATAAACTAACAGATACTGTGGACAGTAAGTCTTTGCTCATTTATTCTTATTGATCCTTCAGTGTGCTTGCATCAGAATTAAGAGATTTTAACTGTGTGTATTTATGAACCTTAGGAAGATAACTTGATTTCAAGATTTCTTAACGGTTTCATTGTTTTAGGATATTTTTTATTGCTTTGAGGTTAATTTCACTGAAATACTGCTAGGTGCCTTTCTTGGTCCTGCGTCATGAATTAAGGAGGTCTATAGGAGTCTACAAAGCTACTGTTCTTTGTGCTCTTAGAAGGGACAGAGAACGGTTTTTGTAAGATATGTCCTTGGGCTTCATTGTCACTGTTTGGTAGCCCTGCTGGATTAATTGCCAGATGTAATAGATAATTAAAATATAAAGGTTCTTTTACTCACTGTTAAAGAGCTATCAGTATGTATATGTAAGTTGGAATATAGATCTAGTCCAAAAAAGTTGTATTAGGGTAATTAATGTCTGTTAATAAGAGTGTGGGAACTTTTTTTTTTGTGGTGGTCGGGGGGTGACTTAGGACCTTTCTCCCCTATATTAATTATTAATGCTTTTGTTGTGATCAAAGTAATACAGAGAATTTTAAAAATCAAGTTTATTTTAGCCTAAGCTAGTTTTACCACTGATTGGCACTTTATTAGGATAACAAAAACTGTTTCTTAACCATTTTAACTCCCACAGAATTCTTGGGTCCTAATGTGAGCCATATTAAACCCAGGAATTGGTGAAAACCTGCATTTGAAAAACACCTGGTGACAGTACACATTTGTGTGTGGTCAGTAATTCAAGGATTCCTTTTATTTTCAACAATTTATATAACAGTTCTTAGAAGTAGTATGCCAAAATGACCATAAAAGATACAATAACTAATACATATTTACATTCTTAAAAATAGTTACTCTTGAGGTTGACAAAGCTGTCACTATCCCAAATGAGCGTGACACAACAAACTAGTAGAAGAATCAGTTTTTCGAATTCAGGCTGAATTGTTCATTAATAGTCTCACTTTCCAGAAACAACTACATAGTGACTTCTCGTGCCCAATGACGTGAGATTTAATTAAAAATTAGTGGGCATTTGAAATTGAATTTTTAGCATCTCACAGTTGTATGTAACAGTTTGTAGACCCAATTTGGATATAGTCAGAATCAGAGTGAGATTTTTACTATTAAAGATGATATCTGGTAACCCAGAGTCTTGATAAAAATCCATCCTTAAATGCAGAAATAATATCAGTCACTGGGAATATTTTTGTATTGGATCAATTCAGAATAAACTATTTGGACTGGTTCATTGGTAAGGTTAAGTAACATTGGGGTTCTTGACTCCCCTCCAGTATCCCAGGGCAGTATGAATATCCTGTTAAAACCCTTCCAGAAGAGAGTGTCAAAGGGAATACCTAGTTGTCTGAGCACTCTGGGTGCTCTGTTTTCATTGACGGTCATTGGATTTACTCTAAGCTGGTTGGCTAAAACGAATTGGAGAGACATTTTTTCCACAGTGTAGCTGGACAGTCATGAGAATGTCTTGTAAATTTCAGTAAAATGCAGACTTTAAAGTAGGAACACACATAGCAGGTTTTACTTAAAGAAGAGCATCACATTTAAGTAATAAATTTAACAAGTTAAACAATAAAATCCTAAGCACTTAAAGATTCCAAACATTTGCAGACGAGAGTATTAGGCCAAGATAGTGTTTTAGCCTAGAAACAGATGCGGTTGGGAATGAAGTTTTAACCAGTCTCTCCATTCTAAGGCCTGACCACATTTTGTGTTAGAGCAGAGAGTTAACAGATCTTAATTATAGTAAACAATTTAGCAAATACTATTAGAGAGCAAAAGGGAATACATGTGTGATGAGATGACAACAGAGACTTTTAATCAATGTCTCCAAATGGGAAAGGAACACGTTTTTTATTTACTGCATTTTAGTTTTAGGGAAAGGAATTAATTTTAGAAGAGGCTGAAAAACTACCTATAATTAAAGTATTGGCCTTGTGTTCATCTTAGATACTATCAGAACTAGTTACGTTTCTTTTTCAAAAATAAATTGTACAAGCAGGGATCAACACCTCAGAGGGTACTCAGGGGAACCCTTTTCTCAGGGCTTTATTTTTTACCATGTTAAATTTACTAATGAAGACTTGAGCAAAATGTGGGTCGGCCATATAATGGTATGTTTTCACCGTGGAGGGGAGAGGTTCCACAGCCACCACTGGGCATGCTGTCTGCACCGAAGAGCAGCTGGGGGCCAGGTGGCAGGATGTCTTTGTGATGTAGTCCACAAGTCTATTGTACTGTTGTTCTGACAGTCTCTCTCGGGCTCCATCCACCTAGGATCCAAAAATAAAGTCTTGAGTTGCCAAATTTTCATAATGGGACTCCCATGACCAAAGTATTCCTTCTGTTTTTGACTCCTACATCTGTGCATTATGCTTTGAGGTCCTCTAATAAAGCCATTTTTATCCAACGCTGTGCTTTTTATTTTTCCTCTGAGCTGTGGCAGTGATAACACTGCGCTTTCAGCAGTACAAACGAAGCTCTGCATGGGACTGTTAGGACAACCTCCTTTGAATACGCGTTTGGTGTTGTGTGAAATTCCCATGTTTGAAGTTGATGATTTGGTAACATTTTACTCATTAACTATTAAACATCTGTCACTGCTCTTTACTAACCAGCTCAGGAACAAAGAAGAGTGTCTTTCCTCTGCATAAATCAACATTAAACTCGCATCCTGAAATAAAAGTTCTGTTTGCCTGTCTCCTTAAACCTCTAAAGTTTGACAGAAAAAATTCTGGAGAAGAGCACCTCTTTCAAACCAGTGGCTTTGGACAGAGCATTAAAAAAATAAATACCTTTTGAACTGTAACATTTTCTGTTTTTATAAACACTAGGATTTAAAGCCAGAGGTGGGGGGGGGAGTGGTGGTGGGGGAAACTGGGCAGAGGAAGGGGAAATTTTTATGGAAAAAAAGGGAGGATGCAAAGTACATTTATGGTTCATAAAAGTCTGGCTCATCTTCAGTGGAACTCAAATAGGAGAACTGAGATATACTACCTAAGTTCTTAAGTGAGATTTTCTGAGAAAGCACCCATCAAAGGCAATTGGATCTATAAATTCTTCCCACCCTGAGCTTTTGTAGCTATCTGGGGTGTAGATCACGTGGACTGGGACGTTTCCAGTATAAACTACTGATCTGTGGGAATCAGGTAGCCACTGGCCTTTTCGGTGGTTCTGTACCTACCAAATGTTGGCAAGATCACTCCGGGTAAGAATTAACAAGGGCTTTTGAGTCCTCAAAGTAGTAGTAATGTAAAGAATTTCTGTGTTTCTGTGTAGGGCACAGAAACAGTGCAGCCAAGGGTGTCTTAAAAGCTGTACAAAGCCAGTAGACGGTAAGGAGTAAGGGCCTGCCAGAAAAATAAGTAGGGCATCCGTTCGGGTTCGGATCTCCTATTTTGAAGCTTGGGAAAGAAAATAAAGGCCCCCAAAGTTTCACTGACAGATGAAAGCTGTGTACCACCAGGCAAAGGCCAGAGCTCTGATGATATCATTTGATGGGGTCAGAATTCAGCTGGAAAGCTTTGAAAACACAGAAAGTCTTAATTGCTCCTCCTGAACAGCAGCACAGGAAAACCCGTGCTGTGAAAGGAACCTGGCCAAGGAATAAATTGACCTTCTGACTCATGTTGAGCCTCTCATAAGGGATTTCAATAATGTGCCAGGCATATTAAGCAATTATTACCCTAAAAATGGCTGCATTTAACCAAGAAAAGCGAATGCTGATTTAAAAATATTTGAATCCTGCCACATTTCAATATACTGAGTGATGTCATCTACAAATTAATTCCTTCCAAATTTCAAAGGAGCTGTGTTTCCTAGTATCTGAAGCAAAAAAAGCAGAAAAGCCATTTTATATGAAGATCTAAAAATACTGTTCTTAGTTTTCCCTGGAAGACAGCAGGTAGGCTTCTTAACCCAGGTTTACATCTGTGGATTCAGTTTGCAGGTGACTAGTCCTGACTGACATGAGCACGGCAGCTGAGGAAAAGTCCCCGTGTCAAGCAGCAGTGCCGGGTGATTCCCCCGCCTCGTTTTGCGCATACACTGGGTCACAGCACTCCTACGGAAGGGTGTGCTGTCTCAGAAAAGAAACGGGCATTTTGTTGTAAAGTTTGGGTCTCCTTCGGGGTGTGTGGGGAAGGGGGGGTAGGGTTTGGACACAGGACTGAGGGGGCAGTTATTTCCTGTTTTTTAGGAGTTGGGGGAGGTAAAGTGGGATAGGTTCAGAGAAAGAATTTGGGGGCTGACCGCGTACTGGATCTCCACCATTTCTGTCCTGTGCCGGGACAGCCAGGTGCTGCTGGGTAAACTCCACAGCTGCCCTGCACTATTCCTGCCCTCAGTCATCTCTTCCGGCCTCTTCCCCCTTAATCCAGCCCCCTGTTCTCCCCGAGTACCGATGGAAGACCAGTGTTGAGCATGGTGTCCAGAGCATCGGTGCTTTTCTGCCTCTAACTCGGTGATCCCATGGTCTCAATTAACTTTGGCAACTTCTAGGAGTGGTGACTCCAGCTATCATCTCATTAACCCCTAGAGAAGCAGGCCTGTTCCTTCCCAGCAATGATAATTCCCCACAGTACCCTCCTCAAACAAAAGCCAAAGGGAGAAGGATCACAACTGAAGACAGTAGAGACCGTTTTAACAACAAAAGCTGAATCTCCAGTCTTCAGTTTAAGATACGAGATATTTCCCAAGCAGCTAAGGAATAACGATAGATTCCCGAGGGCCTTGGAAGTTTCTCGTTAGGGACCAAGGACTTGAAGATAATGACACCGTCCCTTGCCAAATCCTGTAGCCAGATCACTGCTGCTTTATTGTCAATTGGATCAGAAGATTTTGGCAGATCTAAAGTCGGCCTGGACATCTGACCTCTGTTTATTCCCAGAAAGTCATCAACTCGAAGAGCAATGTGCGCCTAGTGCCAAGCCCCAGCTTAAAGCCTGACT